ACACGCACACGCACACGCACACGCACACGCACACGCACACGCACACGCACTCACACGCACACGCACACGCACACGCACACGCACACGCACACGCACACGCACACGCACACGCACACGGCACACGCACAGCACACGCACACAACACGAATCACACGCACACGCACACACACACACACACACACACACACACACACACACACACACACACACACACACACACACACACACACACACACCACACACACACACACCTACAGACGCAAGCACGCACGCACGCGCACACAGCGAAACACAAAGACAATATACGAGCGAATCCACGAAAAGCACGTCACAGTCGTCCTGCCTGCGGCCGGCCTCTTCAAAGATATGCTGATGTTCTTGTTTCGACAAGGGCGGATGGGAAAGTGCCAGTCGGTCCTCAAACAAAGCAATGCGCAGTCGTGCTGAAGCACATGTTGCAAAGGGTCCTGCCAAAGAGGAAACTAAAAAGGGTTTGGCTTCCCTGCTTGTAATCTAAGCGGTCGGCCACCCGCACGCTAAACTGATCTCATGAAGTAAACAATCCCTACAATAAGTGGGTGCTTCCTGACAACTTGCGGGCTCTTTAAATTCTTGTTTATTGTTCCTCGGAATTCTATGGTGCGCTTTAAACAGCCTTCAGGGCACCTACAGAAAGTTAAGACGAAAACTTCCACACTGGGCCTCCGCGCGAGCTGGGCAGCGGCCGTCTGGAAGGCACTGGCGTTGCGGGACTGGATGGAGCTGGCCATGTCCTGCGCCAGCCTCACAGCCTGCGGCCTGCGGACGGATTTCGGGCTCCGAAGCAAACAAAGGGGTCGTGATATGTCCTGCCGGGATTCAGCCATTTAAGGGGAAACCCCATGAATCCCCCCCCCCTCATTTTTGTTCTATGACCAAGGTTTTGGAAAGTACAAGGGCCCAACATGACACTCATCATTTGTTTGCAAAGCTCCCTATAGGTTTGGCGTGTTTTCCAGGCTGCTATCAATTGAGTTTGCGCCGTGGAACATGGACGATTTCAACAGTTGCTTGTCGAGTGCTGCTATGGTTGAAATGCACAAAGAGCGGGCAATGCGACTGCGGAAGGGGTCTGGGTATTGAACATCCCTCGAAGCCTGCTCGAATGCCTGAGCAGGGCCTACGCAGGCTGATACAAACACAGTACAACATTGTCAAGCTATTGACATGCCAAATGTGTCCAAACCCAATGATTTCAAGCCAATTAACGCCGATTCCCTTAAGCTCTAGCGTGAGAAGACATGAGATGCGACATGGGCGCCCGCCCTTTGTGTGGCTGGACCGCCCCTTTTGAACCCATCACCTTTGGAAATGGGCCTCCCTAAATGAGAATCATGTATAGCATCCATGGAGCCTTTTGTTGGAGCCTTTTCAGGCCCAATTTGGCGGGTCAATGTCGATCCCAACAAGGGCAACCCAAGTGGGTCAACCCAAAACACGCTGGTGGAGTCGATCGATTTCTCGGCCTGTTGGGAGCAAGGTGCGGCTCGTTGCGGCGACTGTACACCTGGCTTTGCTGAGCGGTCAAGATCCCCGCATTGCTTTCCGCTCTACAGCTAGATGGATACTCCTATGCATTAACCTTTAATTAGGGACCCCTTTTGCATGTCCACCATTCACTTTTGAGGAGCTTCCCTATCAAAAAACAGAGCCAAATACGGCTTCCGGCCAAAGACCCAGGCCCAGAGTGAGTGAAACGCACTGGGAGGCGGGATATTGCGCGGGTAGGCACGGTCGGAGCGACATCCACCCAATTCAGAGATTTGCTCGACACAGCCTTTCGGATCACGTCGATGAATGTTGGGGCGGCTTTTCGCCAAGCTTCAAAACGAAGGGGAGGTGTGCCTTGCATGTGGAGCCGACAAGGGTGGTCCGCGGTACTCGACAAAGCCTTGCAGTCCTGGGGGTGGGAAAACAGAGGCCCGTGGCTATGGTGGCATCCTGACATCGGTAAGCACCTTAGCCTAAGCCGTGCTAGACACTGGCGTGAATGGTCGGTAATCGCTCATGACCTACGCGAGAGCTTCCGCAGGAGCTTATTTAGTAATTTCTTGCAGGCGGATCGCAGGGACTCAGAGGATTGCCCAGCTGCTTACGACCCTGAAGTGGTCAAGCGAACCAGACAGGCGGCGGCGGTGACGCGTGAAAACTTCCAAATAATGTGTGGGGCCACGATGTCCCCGGCCGCTTACCGCAGTGCTAAAAATTTACCGATGTACGGTTGTCCAGCTTGCGGTGATGATCAGGTCGTGCCCACCCTGGAGCATCTGGTGCAACAGTGCCGTGCTTTCGACCGTGGGTTGCTGCCGGTGCTCGAGCCACTCGAGGCTCGTCTGGGGTGGCCGGTGTATACAGGGGCTCGGGCCCATAGGGTGTTGGAAATCCATCGCAAGGTGCGCAGGTGGATCTTGGCGGATCGGTACGATTGAATATCACCCGGTCGGGTGGTTCATACCGCTCGGCTTGGGTGGTCCTAAAGGTTCCAGCCCGCCTGGCTGTGTACTTCATTTGAGGGTGGGTAGGGATGTGGGTGGTGCGGCCCGCTCGCACGTGCACTTCTTGTCAAACAAAGTGATGCGTTTGCCAGCTAGGGGCTGTAGCCCACGTGACAGTGTATTGCCTCAAAGAGTGTGAAACAGGGTGCTGTGGCCCACTTGGTGCTCCAGCACACTTGTCTCGTGTGGATCTCGGTGATACTGCCCACGTGGATGGGTGGCAGGTACTTGTCAGTACTAAGGATAGTGTCTAAGGATACTGGGCGATCCTCTCATGATGGTCGTCCTGTACAAGTTCATATATATATTTGCTCGACACAGCTGATCATCTTTGCTAACTGGCCCCGCTGAAGCTACGCCTCACGCAGCGTAGCTTTGCTTGAGGGTAGCTTGAAGTGGAAAAACCACCTAGGTGTTTTGCTTTCAATACAACAGATTGAGAAAAGCCTTGGCTGCTGTCCGCTAAGATGTGTGTTAGTAACAACTAAGGTGCGGGGCTGCTTCGTTTTCGTCGTACGCCGCAAACCTGTGCCAGTTTACATGGCGGTTGTCTGGAATTTCCTTGTTCCTGGAAACGCGATGTTCCCGATAAAATCGCGGACCTTTCGGACGACTCCCACATCTTTTCTGTGGGATCTCGCAGCAAGCCATGTCCTTTCGTGCAACCTGTGCAAATCTTGCGCCAACGGTGCAACATATGCGGCGCACATTCAATCAACAAAAATTGAGCTCTTTGGGAGGACTTTGAGCACGTACTTGGGTGCGAGGAACCAGAGGGACCCCGGACGGTTTGTTTCATATGCCTTAAGCCATCCCCATGGCAGGGAGCCCTTAGGGAACACAAATTTGGTGCCAATGGTGTCCTTTCACCCGAAACTGGGAAAGCCCCTTCCGTTCCGAACTGGCGGCGCCCCGGAAATCCTTATCGGAAAACTGGTTGCAGCTTCCCTTTGGCGTCCCGTTCACCAAAAGGGACAAAGGAGAAAACATCAAGATTGCCCACGATGGCGAAGCCCGCCTCACTGATGACTGCATTGGCCTCCTGCTCTCCACACCAGTCGGGCATGGGGCGAAAGGCCAGCAGCGCTTCCTATTCGGCGACTGGGGTGGTAGGGACCCCCGCCCTTTGGATGTTCCGCCATCAGCTTGAGCGCAGCAATGATATGTTGGCACGAGTATCTCTCGATTCATTTGATGACTCTTGGGTGGGTGTTTCATACAGATGGACCAGTCTAGACCTTTCCTTCGGAATGGACTCAGAACTAGTTGGACCCTCCCAAATGGTTGCTTCCTGCCTTGCTGGTTCCACGATTTCGAGTCGCTTCATTGTTTCGCTCCAGCCAGAATTAAACACAAAGAAGAAGCAATGCTTGCAGCTCTAAACCCTAAACTCTAGCCCCTACCCATGTTTGAGTTCCTGCGTCATGCACGGGGTGCCTGCGCCCGAGCCAAGCACTCGTCCAGCATTCCCTTGTCCAGCAAGAGCTTGCTGGCCTTGCCATGGGCTTCAGGGAACAAACCTCCCAACAGCCAGCACACCCCACGACTTGCTCTTTCCCCACGTTCAAGCCCCAAGTGCTGTTCAAAAAGCGGTCGTTGGAGGGTGCTGGAAAGGGGCTTGTTTTGTAGATACATGAACCTCCAAATTGGACTTGACGTTGGGTTCCATTTCGAACGATCCTAAGAGGGAGGGTCTGTGCGCAAGATCTGCTGGTGGTGCTGTGGATGCAGGTGCAAGGGCGGGCGGTCCCGTAGGGAACAAGTCTGACTTTCTTCCCTTGTGGCAAACAAGTTCCTATGTGAATTAGTACTGGCATTCAGGAGCTCATTTCCCATGCGCGGTAAAGTGTCCCATACATTGGTTCTGCACAATACAGTATGTGTTTGCTTGATGCCTATCCCTCGCATGCGATACTCACTGCGCACCCGAAAAGAGTATCACCAAAAGCCGTACAGTCAGGAAGCAAGGAGAACGGGACGTGCCCAATGCTGTTTTCAACATGCAATTTCCACTCAAAGCATGCTGAAGAATTCGCTAAAACGCTTGTAAACAGAATGGACATGACCATCATGCCGCTCTTCGGAGTACACACTCACGCTTTCGCTCATGATGTTTCCGCAACTGCCCCTCAACCGTGGAAGGACATCAGCGTGAAATGCAAGCGCACGCATTGCGCGGCATATGTTTCAGACAGATCTTCCACAACAAACGGCCAAAAATCAATGCCGTGCATCCACCAAGCTTTGGAACGCAAAAACCATATACAACCAAACTTGCAGCAAGCATGAGTTATGATGTCCCACCTTGGATGTCCTCAGGCGCCTAGGAAAGAACACTCCTGCACCCATGTTCGCGCAGCTTATCCCTGCAGGGACCGCCTGCCTGAAGACTTGCTTTTGCATATGTCTGCAGGCTGTCCAGCTTGCTGCTCAAAGCTTCCTCCCATGCGCGGGGCAGAATGAGTGCTGAGCCATTTTCCTACACAGCCCCTCCCAATCTGAGATGCAGCACCAAGACTGGCGGGCAGGCCCGCAACGGCAACTTGCAAGGCCTTGCAAATAGAAATATTCGCCTGGGGGCTTGATAGGTCACACTGGGTTGCAGGGGTTCCCAGCTCTATCGGGTCATTTTTGGATGGTTTCGATTTGGTTGACAGTAAAAGTGCTCAAGTATCGGTTTAGTTGTCCCCTAATATGACCGGAGATGGGGTTGGTGGGCAAAATGGTACTAATATTCATTCAAAGGGTGCAATTATCAACAGGGGGAAGGGATTGTATAAATCACAAATAACACCATCAAACGTAATGAGCGACCCCCTTTGTGTACAGCCAAAGAGTGTCCTGCAACTTGGCTCGCTTCAGCAACAAGCTGAAAGCCGCTAGCACGGCACGCACACAACTCACAGAAAGCTCAAGTCCTCCAGCATCGATAACGCGCGTGCGACATCGCCTTCCGCCTCCGGGCCGAGCTGAAAAGATATTCAGGCGTGCCCCGAGATTCGACACATCACGAGTAGGTGTTTCTCTTTTTGGCAGGACGCCCGTGTCGGTTTCGCAGGTAAACCAAAAGGGGAACCAGCCATTTGGGGGTTCCCTATAATTTTGACACATAAGCGCGATTTGCCAAGAAACTGCGACGGCAGCTGCCAGCAAGACAGTCACGAAGGCTGCTCCAGACCGGTCACCATGGTTCCTTCAAGCCAAGTTGCAACTCGCTAATGTGGGAAGCCTTTCCCAACTGTAGGATTATGTCTGGTAAGCTTCATGTCAGCCCCCAGCAAGCAAGGAGCAAGCAAATTCTATTAATATCTGGCCAAGAGTCTGGAACAGGTCCAATTTGGCTTGTGTCAGTTTCTTTGCTTCCTCGATCTGGCCACATCCCAGAAGCGCGTGAACCTCAGGATCCATGGCCGCCACACTGTGCATGCACTGTCTGGTGGCTCTTTTGGTCCCATGTTTGTTGCGCTTGGTTTGACCACCCAAATTTCAAGACCATGGAGACTTCTGACATCGAAAGACCTCGCATGCCACAAGCGTGAATTGGGACATCGTCTGAACCGCAGGAGCTCTGTCAGAATAGCGAAAGGCACCCAAGCATATAAATCTCGTGGACTTTCCAGCGCACGATGTTTACTGGAGAACGAAGGCAATTCAACCTCCCGACCTATGCTTTCTATGGTCTCCCCGAGCTCGAGCAGTATTCGAACACGTTCACACAGCCAGCACAAATCAAGCTGCAAAACACAAGCAGGAAACACAAACACCAAGCACAAACAACACACAAACAGGCACATCCACACAACACAAAAGCAAAAAACAACTTGATTGAAGGGTGCTTTCCAAAGGCCAGGGGGCGCACACCTCCAGGCCGCGCGTCGTTTTCTGCTCAAGGGCAGCTCTTGCCGGCCTCAGGGCCTCCTGATACGCTCCCCGCAGCAGCAAAGCCTCGGCCAAACTGAGGCGCCGATCGAAGTCTCCCGTTCGGTTCGGCATGGGCTGCATTGGTTTGTCGAGGGTCTGGACCCCCATCCCCGAGGCTTCTCCAGGGGACCATGCCTTCTCAGTTCTTGGAACCGCTCTAAAGGGCGCTACACCCAGACATAAATTTACTTGATGATTGCTTTCCCAGCTGTCCCCCCCTCACACGAAGGTTCAACGCACTGAGACCTCTTTCTCTTTAGGCGCTGTTTCACAAGCAATCTGGGCCCCTGGGACTGGACATGGAACCCTGTTGTTTTCCCTGTGGTCAAAAACCAGCTAGGATCCCCAAGAAATAACAGGGGATCCGATCAGGGCGACGCAGAACCGGCTGGGGGGAACCGCCCGAAAAAAAAAAAAAAAAAAAAAAAAAAAAAAAAAAAAAAAAAAAAAAAAAAAAAAAAAAAAAAAAAAACTGAGAAGGCACGATACCCCGGGGAAAAGCCGATGTGCGTTTTTGCTGTAAGGTACCTCATTTTTGGCCATAGGCTTTTCCCAAGTGGACAGTGCCTTCTCAACTTTTTTTTTTTTTTAATAAAAATAAAAATAAAAATGAGCGAGCACGCAGAGGTTGGGGGAGCACGCAAACCCGGAGAAGGCCCGCAAAACCGGAGAAGGCCCGCAAAACCGGAGAAGGCCCGCAAAATCCGGAGAAGGCCCGGAAAAAATATGAGTCTGTTTTGTTTGGCGATGTGTGACGTGCAAATCCGCATTCATGGCTGCTGGTGATGCCTGTGCTGCTGCTGATGCTGGTTTTGCCTTTGATGCTGGTGATGCCTCTGAACTGGTAATGCCTAAAAGTATCAGGCCAGAGCCAAGGCTGACAAACCAACATGCCAGCCCTTGAGAAGGCACGCTTATCTGGGGGAACCCGCAAAATCCAGAGGACGCGTGTCCAGACTTCCGAGTTTGGGGTGCAGTGCAAAAGCCGGAAGAAACAAAAGCCAAATGCCAGCAGCAAAAGCCTCCAAACGAATCTTCGGTGGTTCCCGCTTGGCGGGTTGATCCGTGCGTTTGATTAATCTCATTCTAAATGATTCGAAGTGAACATCAAAAGTAGTGGTACCACAAAAACTATGAGGTGGGCATTCACCAATGTGACATCCCTTCAAATGGTTGGCTTTCTAATACGCATTCTACTGTTTTTGGTGGTCAAGTTTTATTGAAACCATCCAACATGGAGAAACGGCCAGCCGAAAAATCAAGGTTGGCTTGAACATTGGACTAACTTGGATCAAGCCTCGACCGAGCTTTCACACAATCAGTTGGAGTTGGCGATCGGGTTTGAATACACGTCTGGCACTTCTCAACATATGGAACCCAAAGTTTGAATCACGGTTCGAGCACCAGCTTGTGATGCATAGCTGTCCGACTCAGCGCGCCTGGGCAAGCGATGCTTGAGCAGCAGCCTCTCCATCGGCATCTCCCTCTGCTCGGAAGGCATACAAAGCCTCGAGTCGTGTTTGGCATACAAACTCTGGGAGTGGTGAAAGACTTGGGGCTCTTGTGGCAGTGCTTGGATATGTTCGCAGGAAGCCAACTTGAAGCCCTGGGGCCCCTCCACAATATGTGAGAGGTGCGGAAATGTGCCGAAATAGATTCGTCTGTAGATTCCTTTTAATTCCTTGCTGGCTTCTCAGGGCTTGGCCGGAAGTTGACTGCAGACTGGCAACTTCCCGCGCACAGGACTCTGCTGAACTCAAGGACGTCACTTTCAGCGTCTGAGCCACCGCCAAACAATGCTTCGCCTTGCTCTTCCGGTCCATCGCACGCGTGCAGTCAAATGCTCTCTCCGCCGCCAGCTGCGCCATCTCCACTTCTCCCTGCGTCATAAAGCAATGAAACAGGACCGCGTACAGGCCGTAGCACTCCAATGACCTGACGGAACACTCAGGGCTTTGACTCTGGAAACTCGGATTCCTGCAAACGAAACGATGTTCCTGAACTGAAGCTGGTAGATCACCTCAAAGAAGTAGCACCTTAAACCCGGAAACCAGGCTTTTGTTGTCTGCATAACCCATGCAATCTGCACCCAAACGCCTGCATCTCTGTCGGCAATCGCACCCTGTAAGGAATGGTTGCGGAAAACGGCCCGGGTTCGAGGGCAACGTGGGTGGAGGCAACATGTTTCTTCTGGCTTTTCAGGAAACTTGGTGGAAGGCCTCAAACGGATCCAAATTTGGGGGTTAATCAATTTTCCTGCCCCCAAATGTGCTCAAATAACCATGGGTAACTTTTCCCATTTAACTAGTGGGAATTATGATTTTTGTGGTTTTCCCCAATGGTCATCCCATGCAAAGCACCTTTAGATCGACCCCCCCCCCGCCAATTTTGGGACTTGTTGGTGGGGCACTTGAACAAAACTCGCTCGATGGCCTCATGGCCAGGCGCTGGGCGCGATCCACCCCATCTTTGGCCGACTCCGCGGCGCCGCGAAAGTTCCGATGGGCCGCCAAGCATTCGGCCTGCCCGCGTCACGACCCGCAAGCGAAGGCTGTGCACAGTCCGTCAGTCAGTCGGTCAGTCAGTCAGTCAGTCAGTCAGTCAGTCAGTCAGTCAGTCAGTCAACCGACTGACTGACTGGCACTGACAGACGGACGGACCGACCAACCGACCAACTGACCGACCGACCGACCGACCGACCAACTGAGTGACTGACTGGCTGACTGACTGACTGTCCGACTGACCGACCGACTGACCGACTACTGACTGACTGACTGACTGACTGACTGACTGACTGACTGACTGACTGCCTGACTGATGACTGACGACTGACTGACTGACTGACTGACTGACCTGACTGACTGACTGACTGACTGACTGACTGACTGACTGACTGACTGACTGACTGACTGACTGACTCACTGACTGACTGACTCACTGACTGACTGACGACTGACTGACTGACTGACTGACCTGACCGACTGGCTGACTGACTGCTTGACTGACCGACTGATAACTGACTGACTGACTGACTGACTGACTGACTGACTGACTGACTGACCGACCGAGACTGACTGACTGACCGACCGACCGACCGACCGACTGACTGACCGGCCGCGCCCGCCCGCCCGACCGACAGACTGAGCGACGTGACTGACTGACTGACTGACTGACTGACTGACTGACTGACTGACTGACTGACTGACTGGCTGACTGAGTGACGGACGGACGGACGGACGGACCGACTGACATTGACTGGACTGAGCGACGTGACTGACTGACTGACTGACTGACTGACTGACTGAGTGACGGACGGA